CTATGTTTGGCCATTTCTTGCTCCACTTCCCAGTCACTTGCTTCGACTTCTACCTGTCGATTGAATTCTCTGGGAAGCACTGAAACGATATTCACCATTATGTCCAAAGTATCATCAGACTCAGCATCGTCTTCGTCTTCGACTTCACTTTGGTTAGGCCAAACTAGCCTGTTGGTTACTGGCTCTCTCTCTAGAGGCTTCCTTTGTTTCCTTTGAGGAACATTCGAACTGGTTTCTGCCTTAGGTTCGTTGGCAGCCTCCCTTTCCGCTTTTCGTCTCCTTTGATATCTCCTCCATTGAGATCGAGACATAGGATTTTTACCTTTGTAGTTGCTGGACACTTGTGCAACCTTAGGTGCAGCAACCTGAGGCTCTTTCTTTTGAGTCAAAGAGGAACCTCTTGGCACATCGAAAGAATGCCATTTCTCCTCACTTGGCCTTTTCCGGCCAGAGGTTTTGTACCAAGTGTCTACTGGCACATTTGTTGGAGGCCTAAAAGTCAATGGCCTCTTTTCTTGGTTAGAACCTCTTCTGGGATCATGTCGAAGGTCAGCATTCTCCCTTCTCTTATTCGCTGCTCTTACGCCTTGAATGTGCTCAGCAGCTTTTTTATCAAAGATCGAACTGCATCTTGGACACAGCATCACCTCTGATTTCTTTTTCTGGCATCTTTGTAGAAAATCTGCCAAGTTTTCGTTTTCCCGAGGGAAAGCAGTCTTATTAGCCTGTTCTTGCCTCATGGCCTCTTCTGATGCTTTTGAGTCAGAAAGTTCGACCATGTTGATATTCATTGTATCTTTGTTAGCAAGAGTTAACTGCTTCATTTGTATCTCCAGATTCTCCGTCTGGCCTTGAACAGTGGCCAAGTGGGAACTGGGTTTTGATCCAGTTTTTTGTGCTTCAGCGGTCTCCGGCTTCGGGTTTTCGACCGCTTTCTGGACAGCCTCAATTGTCTTCCTGGATAAATTTCCAGAAAAACTGCCAAAGATTGGCATGTTGATGTGGTCCTTTGAGACTTCGACCATGGTAATTCCTGGCTTCTTCGACTGGATCCTGGTTGCCTCTATCACGTTCACCTCAGAGGGTTCAGCATAGTGGGCTTCAGCCTGCAATGGATTTGAGTCGACAGCCATGGGGGATTTGTCAGCAAACTTCAATCTCCCCTCTTCGATAGCGTCTTGCACAAGATTCCTGAAAAGAAAACATTGAGAAGTTTTATGGCCCAAAAAATTATGATATTTGCAAAAACCTCTCTTCTTTCTTTGATCAAGAGGAGGCACTTTTACCCCTGGGGGTACTATCATTTGGCCATCTTTAACTAGCAAGTCGAATATTTCATCACATTTTGTGATGTCAAAACTATAAGTCTTTTTTGGGAACCTATCGTTGGTCCTTTCTGGACCCAGGGGATTTTTCCCATTTGAGGGGACTAACAGTTTACAAGAGTATGGTGGCCCTTGTTTTAGTTCTGCTAAATCGACTTCTCCTTCTTCGACAGTTAAAGTATCGTCGAAGGATTCTAGATCTTCGTCATCCATCTCAACGTACGCTATTCTCTCTCTCTTGTGAGTTTTCGTTGCCTTAGCTTTTTCAGCTTTGAGGCGTTCTACCTGTCGAACTCTATCGGCCAGTTGGGCCATGTCTCTTAGGTATTGGGTGTCTAGCTTCTTCCTAATGGAATAATCTAAACCGCCTGCGGCTATTTCGACCAACTCATGTTCTGGCACTTGTGTAAAACATCTCGCCTTGAGCAACCTAAACCTATTTAGATATTCGTCTATAGGTTCAGTGAAACGTCTCTTCACACTGGCCAGTTCTTTCAGGCTTATCTTGGTTTGCCCCATGTAGAATTGTTCATGGAACAATCTCTCCAACTGGGTCCAATGATGGATAGAATTGGGGGGGAGAGTTGTAAACCAAGTAAAAGCGTTCTTGGTTAAAGAACTTGGGAAGTACTTGATCCTTAGGTTTTCGTTATTCGAAATGTCTCCTGCTTCGATCAAGTATCTCGCCACATGCTCGACAGTAGATTCTGTCGTGTCCCCAGAGAACTTAGTAAATTTGGGGACTTTGCATCTAGGAGGTAAGTCCGTTTGTAACACGTATTCTGACAATGGAGATGTAAAGTTGGGCCTTCGAAAGCTCATGTTCATCCCATTCTGAGTCATGATCCTTTCAATCATGGTTGCCAGATTGTTTTCCAAACCCATGTTTTGGTATTGGATATGCTGAACCACTTCGTCAGCATTTTGGTTTCTGTTAACTAACCTTATCTCTGGGATTATTACCCTAGGTTCCTTGACAGGTTGTTCCAATCGTGCCCTAAGGTTTTCTTCGACAGGCTGTTGAGCCTGGTTAATGGTGGTTTCTTCCTCTAAAAATATCCCCTGATTTCCCCTTATTTGCGCCCTTTGAGGCTGTCGAATAGGTTGGGGTACTCCAAAGAAGTCAGCCAAACGCGTCATTTGCGCTGTCACTTGCTGATTCGATTGAGTAGTGTTTTGTATTAGAGGGTTTAGCACTGTACTCAAAGTTTGTGCCAACATTTGCACCATATCATGGTTGCTTTCGTCCATTTGTTGCCTCAAGACTGTTGTCGAGGCATTTGTAAGGCCATGGGCTACTTGGGACGTTCCTCCTAAGAGTTGGGTCCTATTTCTATTCGCCATGCCTATTCCAGAGCCTTGGAGTGGCGAAGAGGCACTCACTAAAGGGTCTGAAACAGTGGACGCAGCATTCGTCAGGCTTGCCACTTCAGAAGTTGGCATACCATAGAGTGGAATGAATCCTGGGGGAACGAAAGGCCTTGTGCCTAAATTTCCCCTTGGTGGGGGAGTTCCCAAAGGCATCCTGGGGCCTGTTAACGAAGTTATTGGCCCCGTGGTTGTGACCGATACTGCTGGTGTCGAACCAACATTTGTCGCTTCACTTACGGTCGTACTAACCGTTGCTCCCACATTCGTTTGTGGGATTTCGTTAGTGTTTGGCGGATTCGCCATCTCTTCCCTTCTTCTGGCAGTATTGTTATCGTTAGTGTATATTCTACCACTTCTCAATAACATACAACTCGAAAAGATGAGATTATTTTCAACAATCAACACACAGTCCCACCAGGTGTGCCAATTTGTTTACCTTGGTTTTTGGTAAACAACCGCTGATCCTCCAAATGGTTACTTATTTGGTTACTCGCAGGATCGATCAGATTGATCCTAGGACATAGGTTGATTTTGAAGTTTGATTAAATTGGATAAGGCTTTAAATAAAAAGGCTTTAAATAACATAAAGAGGTTTCAAGTAAATTGCATGAAGGAAGGACTTGGTAAAATAAACAAGGCTTAAAGTAAAAGGCTTCGACAGGAATGTAAAGAGGAAAGCAAGTAAATTTCTGGAAAAGTAAATGACTTTGATTAATAAAATTGGTGTTTCACACATACATTTCTCAACAATTCTTTCTCACACGCTGGGTACTCGAATCTATATGAGTGACTTTGTATAGAATTGTGAACACCCGCGAGAAACTACATGACTACTATTATTTATACTAAAACATCCCAAGTAACCGTCGGGCAGTTATACTGCTTCGAGATCAATCCACTTGGCACGTTCTCCATGCTCGACGCTCCAGATCCTTGCACGTTTGCACGTGGTAACTGCTGGAAACCGTTTTCCCTCCAAACGTTTGAATTTCAAACTGCTCCACTCTGAACCATCGAACACTTTCGTCAAGAGACATCTTCAACGAGAAACTCCTTCGACGTCGAAGGCAACCAGCCTTCTTCCTTGGAAGAAATCTTCCAAGTACTTTGTCATCTTTCGACGGGCATTTCGACAGACTTAGCCAGTCGAAAACATCTTTCAGTTTTAATGGCTGACATCAACAAAACAAAGGTGTCGAATTTAGGAGCCAACACCTGCAAGGCACTCCGATGCTAAAGTGAGTGAGAGTACGAGCAGACAAAAAGTATGAGTATGGGTAAAAGAATGAATACCTGACCCTCTGGGAACAGAGGGTATTTATAGCCCCCAGCGCTGGGCCAAGGTTCCTTCATTGGGCCGGGCAGGTTTGGTCCAATGAAGGAACTGCCAGGTTCTACGTGTGTAGTGGGGACCCGCACGTGGTCCCCTTCCTGGGTGTTCTGCGAGAAGTACGAACGGACGGGGACACGGTCTTTTCGGAATCCAGGTGATGGTGTAATGGTCATAGTCTGCCCTACGAGGAGTGCTTGAGCTGAGGTCGAGCTGGACTGCATGAAGTCGAGGATGTCATGGACACGGCTGTAGCTTCTTGGTCGGCGCGACCCCCTGCAAGGCCGTTTGGATTGGGCCTTCATCCTTGTTTTTGGGTCAGCCCGACCCAGTCCAGAACAATTATTATTATTATTATCTCGCTTGTAAACGGTGAAATTGATCTTTTTTAGATTAATTTAAAAATAAATAAATTATTATTATAATAATAATAATAATAAAATAATAATAATAAAATAATAATAATATTATTATTATTTATTATTATTATTATTTATTATTATTATTGTTGTTATTATTATTATTATTATTATTATTATTATTATTATTATTATTATTATTATTATTATTATTATTATTATTATTATTATTATTATTATTATTATTATTATTATTATTATTTATTACCATATTCAAAATTTTCAATTTTAATTAAAAAATGTTGTTGAGTTGAATTACCTTGTAAGTCCAGCAAGGATATACGCACATTCCTTAGCCAACCAGTTTTGAATCTCTCATCAATTCTTTGACCTAACCAACCACACAAACCCTTTCACTCTCCTTTCCCATTCATTCCCATTTTCTTCACCACCCATTTCAATTCTCAGGTATTTCGTTGAACTTTTTTGAAGTATTCTTATTTTTTTTCCTCATTTTCCCTCAAAAGTAGGGTTTCAATTATTTCCCAATTCATTTTCTAGGGTTTGAACAATTTTCAACCCTTTTCATTCATAGCTTAGGATCCTTTTATTTTTATGGAATTTGATTGTCTGCAGAGTAACAAAGTTCCTCAAAAGTTGATAGAAAATTCAGCCTTAGATATAGATATAGTTAATCCAAAATCCAATTCCAAGGAAATTTCAAATACCAAATCTGAATCTGTAAAAGGTGAGAATTTTAAGGGAAAATTGAAGTTGAAGTTGAAGAAAGGAATCAAAGGTTCTGCCACTGGGTTGAATCAATCATCGGATTCTGGTGATGTGGTTGATGCGGTTCCTCGGTCGATTACCGACCTTCCTCCTGCATTGATATCTGAGATTCTCAATTGCCTTGATCCGAAAGATCTTGGAATTGTTTCGTGTGTTTCGTCGATTCTCCGCAGTCTTGCTTCTGAGCACCATGCTTGGAAGGGGTTCTATTATGAAAGGTGGGGGCTTCCAGAACCTCTTGGTGTTGGGGATGAAAAGTCATGGAAGGAGATTTTTGTGGAAAGGGAGTTTAGGAGTAAGACTTTTATGGGAAGGTATAGTATGGATGTGTTGTATGGCCATACCGAGGCGGTTAGAACTGTTTTCTTGTTGGCTTCTGCAAAGCTCATTTTTACCTCTGGGTATGACACTGTTGTGAGGATGTGGAACATGGAAGATGGGTTGTCAATCGCTTCGTGTAAACCTCTTGGCTGCACCATTCGTGCAGTTGCAGCAGATACGAGACTACTGGTTGCTGGCGGTACCGGTGGGTTCATTCATTGTTGGAGGGCTGTTGAAGAATTGCCCCATCTGTTTGATCTTAAAGGCTCGCAAAACAAGAATACCGAGGTTCGACTTTGGGGTCATGATGGTCCAGTTACATCACTTGCTTTAGATTTGACGAGGATTTATAGTGGCTCTTGGGACACAACTGTTCGCGTGTGGGACCGTCTCACGACGAAATGCATTGTGGTGTTGAGGCATAGTGACTGGGTTTGGGGACTTGTCCCTCATGATACTACAGTTGTCACCACATCGGGCTCGGATTTGTATGTTTGGGATACTAATAGTGGTACTTTGGTGAGCATTGTTCCAAATGCTCATGTTGGTAATACTTATGCTTTGGCAAGAAGCCATTCAGGGGATTTTGTTTTTACCGGAGGTGAAGATGGTTCTATACATATGTACGAGATTGTTCGTGATAGCTATATCACCGAAGCGTTGCATGTTGCTACATGGGACCCTCACTCTGGTCCTGTGAATTCCCTTGCCTTTGAGTTTCCTTGGCTTGTGTCTGCATCAAGTGATGGCAAACTGGCTCTAATTGATGTGAGGAAGCTACTGCGGACAAGCAAGCGTGTTCTGCGGAAGAGAGCTTCAAAGGCAAATCATTCGGGCAAAGTTAATGTAGAGCCTCCACAGAGGATGTTGCATGGATATAAGAATAATCTTTATTCTGTAGATATAGGAGCTGATCGAATTGTGTGTGGAGGTGAAGAAGGTGTTGTCAGGATTTGGAATTTCACAGAAGCTTTGGAAATTGAACGCAGAGTCTGTGCATCAAGAGGAGTGCGATTAGAGAACAGAATGAGACGGCGTAAGCTCCAAACAGAGCTCAGCAGTAAAGGTGGTAGGAGCGATCAATGTTCTGTTGCGGCCAAGAAAAATTCGGTGCCTTGTATTTGGCCGAGGGGTGGAAAGACGAAGGCATAGTGAATGCTGACATCAACCGTTTGTCTCTAAGCACCATTTATCTATCCTTTTATGTTTTTGCAAAATTGATCAATACTGTATTTTGGTTTTAAAAAGGTAAACTGACCAACTGAAGTTTTTTCTTTTAGTATTATGATTTAATTATCAGTATTAATCGTAGCAATCAGATGAAACCAAGTTCATTCAATATCTCACTCAAATAATTTTCAAATGACAGTGTTTCTTTGAGAGAATTCTCTTACATAAGGTAGTAAGCAGTTGGTATTTATGGTTTCTTTATTGAGATTTATCATTTCAAGTTTTTAACTACAACTTGAATGCTGTTATCATTTCATGTATTTATGGTTTCTTTATTGAGATTTATCATTGCCATTCATCGCATTCAAATAAGCTGTTAATAAATAATCAGTTTTCCCCTTCATAAATCCATCTAATTGTGAGTTTTTTTTGGGCAGGGTAAACATTAAGCTTCTATCGGTGTAAACTAAAAGTACTAATTTAAGATTTTGTTATTCTGACCGTACACCTTTTGATTAATTAAATGCTTTATAGTCAAAAGTTTGATAGGATAATAGTCTGGTCTACCTTATGAACATATCAAATATTGAATTTTTTTTTTGGAATAATCATGTATTAAATTTTTTTTCCGCAAATAACCATGTTTCAGAGAAAATTACGCAAATAATTATATTTCAGAAAACCCTACAAGAGAGGAGTCAATCCAGTTGGCGCATCCACTCTCCTTCTTGCCCTAGACGCCATCCCATTTGGCGCCTCCTCTCTCTTTTAGCAAGTGAAATGGCGCATGCACTTTAAAAGTGAGAGGAGGCACAATCTCACTTGTCTCCTAGGGTAAAATGTTATTTTTATAAATAATTCGTCCGTTTCTGTGTCATTTCTCACACTTTCTCGCACTATTTTCTTATTTTTTATTCTGTTATTTGCGTTATGACATCGTCCATGATTTTTATCAGAGATTGTTACGTTATTTTTTCCGCCACAAAACCTCCGATGAAAATGAAATTCTGGCACATTCACTCCATGAAGCGTCTGAAGAGGGAGTTGATGCGATGGCTAGAGAGGGATATCGTGGAGGGGAACAAATTAGAAGGATCCGATGCTTGCGACAAGAAGACCTAATTTTTGGTTGGAGGAAGCCAAAACAGACAACAACGTAATGTTGATGATGCATGGGTCAGATGAAATTGTTTTAACGGTTGTAATTTCGTAGACTATTTATCGTGTTTTGTTTCTTGTTCGTGCAATGTTTATTGTAACAAATACTGTTAACGAAAAACTCTAATGTTTACAACTTAATAAAGGAAATATTTTTTGTAATACAATTTTTACGTGGTTGAGCAAGTAGTCTGATTCGGACAATTTTTGCGATTGTGTCCGACCTGATGACATAAACCACACTTTCTTTCCAGCTTGTCAAGGGAGTTCATTTCGGTTGTGATGCGCTTACTTTTGGGACGACCCTTTTTATTCCTTCGCATTTGGTCATTGTACTATACTATTTCACCGTCGTATGCAAACCAATAATCTGGTTTTGCTACCAAAGGGAAGTTGTTGTAAACGTTGAGCAATGTTTCAGATTTGTAAATGGGAGACAGAAGTTATAGCGCGTCTTGATGAGTATAGGCACACGCGGTAATGACATGAAAGCAAGACATACAAAAGGCTTGAAACTTGCCACAATCGCACCAACGAGAAAGTAGTATAACCCTATATTTTTGTCTTGGCAGGCCTCGTTGTGGTCGATTGTCTCTTTGACAATGAAGTTGTGACCGTGTCGGTCAAACCGTATAACCAGATGGGTGTTGGCTTTGGCACTTTCTGCCTTAATGTACTTTATGCAACTTTCACTCCATAGTTGTCCAGATTGCAACACAGCATTCCATATTTCACCTCTTTTGGCAAACAACGAAGCCATCCTAAAATATGTTAATTTAACCAAAGTAGTGACATGGAGATTTCGTATGCCTTTGAATACCCCATTCATCGATTCAATTAGATTTGTTGTCATGTGGCTTCATCTTTGTCCATTGTCGTATGACCTAGCCCATTTTTCTACCGGAATATTATCGATCCACCTACCGGCTTCCGGATTTAACAAACGGATCTCGTTGCGATAATATTTGAACGTAGGTTGTGTCAATGCATATCCCGCATTCATAACCTCTTTCCTAAGAGCTTTGTCTTTGATCTCCCTCGTGAAATTTTAGACGATATGTCTAATGCAATAGACATGCGTAGAAGGAGAGTCATGCCAACCGTTTGCAGGATTATTGTATGCACTTTCAATGGATGCATGTCTATTAGAGATCAAACAAAGATCTGGTTGAGGAGCCACGTGTGTTCGGAGATTCTTGAGAAAAAAGCTCCAAGCACCACCAGTCTCCCCCTCGACTAGGGAAAAGACAATTGAGAAAATGTTATTGTTGCCATCTTGTGCAACTGCCATCAGTAGCGTGCCTTTGTATTTCCCATACAACCAAGTCCCATCAATTTGTATAATTGGGTTGTATGACGCAAACCCTGTGATGCAAAGTTGAAAAGCCCAAAACACTCGACTGAATATTCTATTTCGGTTGAGTTGACTACCATCCGAGGCATATGCTAGCACTGTTTCCAGAATGTAAACAGTACCCGGAGGATAAGTTTGGAGTGCATTCAGGTAGCGAAAAGGTTCTTGGTATGACTCCTCCCAGTTTCCATATACCTTTTCAATCGCCTTGGTCTTTGCTAACCACGCCTTTCGGTAAGACGGAGTATAGTTAAATACCGTAGTGATGTGGGAGATTATGGTTCCCACCTTCAATGATGGGTCGTTGCTGACGAGTGGTAGGATTTCTTGACAAATGAGATCATAATTTAGTTTCCGATGATCCTGTGATTGAGTAGAATTGACACACGTGTGGGTAGACATATAACCTATGACCCAACAATCACCTCTTAATCTGTATGATGCAGTGAGCTTGAACATACAATCTGGGTGGACACACTTGAGGAATGGAGTCCCTAAACCTCGTCAATGTACCGACACACTAGAGGACATGTACATGTTATTGGGTCTCCCTGTCGACGGTAAGGCGGTTAACGGGTCAGTTTAACAACCCAATTCTCTTAGTGAAGAATTGTTGGACAGGGATATGGTTGAAGGTGGTGGTGCGAGAGGTCAGGGTATACTACTTACTGAGCTAAAAAATCATTATGCGACTCTCGAATTGAACAAAAATTTCTTCGAGCTAGCTAAGGTAATAAAAGCTAGAAATTATATAATGATACTATTTGGAACCTTTTTATTCCCCGAAAGTACGGGAAATAGTGTAAATTTTATGTATTTAAATTTACTTAGAGACTTCGAAAAAACTAGAAAGTATAGTTGGGGTTCTACTGTTTTAGCCCATCTATACAGTTCTTTGTGTAAAAATACAATCAAGGAAAAATGTACATTTTATGGCTGCACTTTTTTACTTCAAGCCTGATGTTGTACCCCAAAATTTGCCCTCCCATATTTCTCAAGACACTGCAAGAAAAATCTCCAAGTTGCTCAAGTTTTCTCAAGAGTTGGTCAGACAAGCTATCTCCTAAGGCAGTCTACCCCAAATTAGGGTTTTGTGTTGTATCAAGATCCTTGATTCCAAGTGACCCCAAGTTCTCACCAATGTCCTAATATATTCTCAAGATCATCCATGTCAAGTTTCAAGCCTTGCAGAGGAAGTTTGCTCAGTCAATTGCTCAAAAGGTCCAAAAGTCGACTATGCTAGGGCAAAAGTCAACTGTGACCCAAATACAGTCAAAATTCAAGATTTTTTGTCAACATTCTCATTTTGAAGTTTATTTCATAATTTGATCAAGGTTTGATCATGATTCATCAATGATTGCTCAAAATTCATCAAGATTCAAAAGTTGCTAAATTAGGATTTTGTAGGAAAAATCAACTCAACTTTAACCAAGCATAACTTTCTCATAATTTATGAGAAATGAACCATCCAAATCTCATTTTGAAAAGGATGCAATTTCATACAGTCCATCTTCATACCCCAAGATCAAAAAATTCACTCACAAGAAGTTATGAGTTTGGACATTATAGGTCATTTTTTAGAGTCAACAAAAACACCTTTTTTGTCAAAGCCTATAACTTGAGCATGGAATATCAAAATGAGATGAGACCAAAAGGGTTGATTAGAGGACATCTCAAACTTTTTATAAAGTCCAAAAACATCTCCAAAAGTTCAAAATTGAAGAAGTTATGCATTGTTGAAGTTGAACTTTTTTGCAAAATTGCCAAAAGTCAACTATCCCCAAAACTTCAAATTTTGCCAAATGGGCCCATTCTTTTCCACTTGATTTGAGTTTGCATTATTGCCCACGTTCCCTAGCTCCAGCAATGTGTCCATATCTCATGTTTACTATTTAATTTGATTTTTATTTGAATTAATTTATTTTAAATCAAATAAAATCATATAAAATCTAAAGCTTTGATAACACATAATTTTTTGGCTATTTCAGGCTCCAAATACAACTATTATTATCATCAAATTCGTATCAAATCAAATGTGTGCAAAAAAGATTGAAATCAAGCAAGTTTGGAAAGTTATAATGGAGGAATCAAATCAAATTCACGAGCATTGATATGGAGAGATTTAGACCAAGTTTTCACCCTAATCCAATGTACCATACATAAGCAAGCAGAAGGCGTGAAAATCAGGGTTGGAGAGCATTGGTAGAGGCAGAACAAAAGTGAAAAAAATCACAAAAAAGCTTGAGATCGAAATCCAGGTTAGAGGCATTTTCAAGAGTGGAGACGTATCTCAATCAATTCGTGGCAATGCACACAAGCTAAACCAATCACAACCAGGTGTTTTCTAGCCCCCATACGCGCTGTAAGTCTCACGCGAGTTCCCCCTGTTTTTGATTTCGTATCTCTGGAATTAGACATCGTTTTCATGAAATAATTACATATCCTTAATCCTCACATCATTTGCAAGCTTTTCATAATATTCAATTGCATTTATCTGGCTTATATGGAGAACCACCATTGTTAGGGTTTGGTTTGTGTTTTTGGGCATTTTTGTTTCAGGTGCAATTGGTTCACATAATGGACATGGTTGTGATCAGGAGTTTGTCACGAATCCAACCATGGTCCTAAAGTCCATTTTTGTGGCCTGTGCAGGATTTTGGAGATGAACAAGGTTGTAGTGACGAAGCTTGGTCTATTGGTATAGGTCCTTTGTGTTTTAGCCACGGTTGGGAGGTCAGGGATGATGTGTGGCATCCATCCATTGTCCGGTTCAAACATAGCGCGCCTTTTTATTTTTTCTGACCAATTGATTTTGTTTTGTTATATTATTATTAATGCATATTATATTAACAAACAAAGCAACGTGATGCAGTGGTAGCCACTCAAGTCTTAAGACGTTCCAAGGCTGGAGGTCAGGGGTTCGATCCCTGCCTCCAGCAAATTGTATTTTCTTCATATTTTTCAGGCAATCACATGCACGCTCAGGCTTGATCCATACCATGCTCCCTCACCAATCCAAGAGCCAGATGGTCAATGGCCAGATCTGATGGTCAGTGATTGGAGGTCCACCAAGGTGTCAGTCAACACCTGTGCACTGGATCCAAAAAGTCCACATGGACCAGCATTAATGGGCCTACATAATTGCTATTAACACCCTTCAATCAGGCCCAATTCTTCTACTTTTTACTCATTTTGTTTATTTAATTTAATTGTTTTATTTCATTTAACTAATTTTCTAACCAATAACAAAATTCTTTTTTATCAAATAAAATCACAAAAAATACTTTTTTTATCCAATCAAATTTTAAAACTTTTATTTTTATTAATAAACTTATTAATTAGGAAACCTTGATTTATTTTGTAAATATCTAAAAATTAATTAGAATTAATTAGGTTTTATTTCATTTAATTATTTTTAGTTTCTTTCTTAAATTAACCAAAACCCAAAAATATGTCATTAATTATTTTTTTCATTAATTAATTTAATTAATTTAATTTAGTTATTTAATTTAGAATTAATTTCTTTTCTTAAAATAAAAACAAAAAAAAACACTTTCTTTAATCAAAAGGGTCAAAACCCTAAATTTCGCACTCGATTTAATTTTCCGCGCGCTTTATTTATTTGTATCCAATTATGTATCTGCTTACGGATTGTAATAGTT